ACGCCCGTGGCCGCCGAGAGGCCTCTGCTGCGCGCGAAGGCCGCCAGGAGGTTGTGCACCGCCCCCGCGCGCTCGCACGGGCTCTCCGACGTGCCCCAGAAGGCAGGGTTCTTCAGCGAGGCCTCCCAGCGGGCCACCAGCGGCTGCCGCAACCTGCTCCAGACCCTCAGCCAGATGGCCGTGAGGCCGATCGGCCGCTGGCCGCCACTAGCCTTGGGGATGAACACCACGATCAGCTGCCACAGCGCCTCCCGCGAAGGCTTCCGCTCCCAGGCCATGAGGAGCTCCAGGAAGCGCTGCCTGTAGGTCCGCGGGAGGCGCAGCAGCTGCTTCGGGTGAAGCCTATCCCACCCAAGGCCACACCCCTCGCGGTAGGTGCCCAGGACGCGCTCGAGGTCCTCGAGCTCCAGCGGCGGCAGCACCGACTCCTGGGCGTCCCGGTTCTCAGGCGCTGCCTCGCCTGCCCGCGACGGCTTGACCCAGAGCGGCTGCCGCGCCTCCAGCAGCGCCGCCACTGCAGCCTCGCCCGCGACGGGCATGCGCAGGTCGTCGCTGCCGTCCACGCCCGCGAGCACCTCCGCGGGCACCACCGCGACCTACTTGATGAAGCGGTAGGCCGCCGAGCCGCCCTTCTCGGTGGCCGCGGCCTGAGCCCGGGCGCGCCACTTCGCGGCCTTCCGCTGCTTGTCCAGCCTCCAGCGTCGCCTCGCCTCCTCCTGGACGAACTGCGCCGTCAGCTGGCACGAGGAGGAGCGGAGCAAGCTCATCACGCGGGCCACTGGCAGCCCTGCCAGCGGGCCATCCTCTGGCCACTCGAGCTCGAACGCCATCAGCACCTCCTGCTGCTTGCGCAGCGGCGCCCAACAGCGCCCTCCAGGCGCCGCCTCCTGCAGCGCGCGCCAGCGGGCGCATGCCGCCGCGAAAGACATCCAGCGCCTGCAGGCCGCGCCGACGCTCCTCTTGCAGCCCTGCTTCCAGGCTACCTCCATCACGACCCTCTGCGCGCGAAGCCCGCCCTCGCGCCCCTTCCAGCGGCTGGGCGGCGCGATCTCGTAGAGGTCGATCAGGTAGGCCTCGACCGCCTCGAACCACTCCTGGCAGCCCTCCTCGAGCGACTGCCTTCCCTCAGGCCTCCATGCCGAGAAGGCGCGCTCGAGCGGCGCTGGCCGCACTGGCGGCGGCAGCGGCAGCGGGAAGGCGGCAGGGAAGAGCGGCCGCTGCACCTTCGCCTCAGGCCCTACGCCGCGGAGCACCACCTTGAACGGCACGTGGCCCTTCGTCGGCGCCCTCGCCCTCAGCAGCACCTCGGCCACGTCCACAAAGCCGGTGAGGACCCTGCTGACCACCGCGAAGTCGAAGACCTTCGAGCCGCAGGTCGGCTCCTCTGGGCCCACGAGCGCACCGCCTGCGCTGCGCGCCCACTCACGGACGTCCACGGGCTCCATGTTCCAGTCGCCCATCACGACCCACGGCGACTCCAGCTGCCCCACGAACTCGTGCAGCGCTGCCAGGAGCCCGATGTTCTCCTTCGCCCTGCCTATCTTCGTGATGAAGTAGGCCGAGATGACGCGGCACGGCTCCCTGAACCCCAGGTTCACCTCAAACACCTGGAACCGATGGGCAGGGGGCCCTGGCGCGGCGGCGGCCGCCGACGGCCGCAGCGTGGCCACGGCCACTCCGCCCGAGCTCTCCAGCGGCCCTGAGCCCGTCGGCAGCGCTGCCTGGCCATGCCAGCGGAAGCCGCGCGCCTGCATCCAACCCGCCGCGCAGGCCATCGCCTGCTTGCCCTTGAGGCGATGCTCTTGGAGGCAGAGCACCGCAGGCAGCCGCCCCACGTCGTCGTGCAGCCACTCGACCAGCGCCTGCGCCGAGCCCCACGCGGTGGTGTTGGCCGATACCAGCTCCACCACGTCCGCCGCCCGCGGGCGGCTACCCAGAAGCGGGGCCTGCCACCCGCTGGTGCTCGGCCGGCGCTGCGCGCCAGGCTGCGCGCTGCTGCTCGTCCTCCATGCCCACCTCGTCGAACACGGCGTCGAGCCCGACGAGCTCGGGGCCAAGGTCGAGGTCGCCGACGCGCTTGCGGTCCCCAGGAGAACCATCAGCGCCGTCATCACTGCCATCCAGCCGCGGGGGCGGCCTCCTGCGCCGCGGCGGCCCGCTCGGCCGCGGCTGCAGCCGCGCAGGCCCGCTCGGCCGCCGCTGCCTCTCGAGCACGGGCGTCGGCGGCGGCGAGCTTCTCCGCGAGGCTGCGGGCCTCGGCGGCCATCGCGAGCAGGGCGCCGCCCTCCTCTCCGAGCAAGAGGACCCTCTCCCGCTCCGCCTCGAGGCCCTCGAGGCCCTTGAGCAGCACCTTGCCCAGGCAGTCCTCGGCCTCCACGGGCTCGCCCACCTCCATGGGCGACGGCCCCTAGTGCTGCTCCAGGTCAGCGCGCTTCCTCGCGCGCGCAGCCTCGGCCACCTCCTCCAGCTGGTCGCGCCGCTTCTGGAGGACGTCCGCCTGCTCCGCCACGCGGACCGCGACGGCCGCCTGCTCCTCCTGGACGGCCACCAGCGCTGCCTCGGCACGGCTGACCTGGCCCTTGATCTTCGCCTCCCTGGCCAGGAGGGCCTGGAGCGACAGCTCGGCCAAGGGCTTCGCTGGCGGCGGCGCGTCCACCACAGGCATCAGGGCCCCGAAGTCCTGGACCAGGGCCGCCGACCAGCCTTCCCTGGGGCCAAAGTGGCGGAGGAGGGCCTGGCGAACCTCCTCGTCCCTGCCGCCGCTGCCGCTGGGCCGCTCCTCCGCCTCCCGCTTGGCCGCGCCCTGCGCCCACGGCGCCGGCGTGGCCGCGGCGGCGGCAGGCCCAGGCACGTCCGAGGCGAAGCGCACGCGCTTCGCCACGACCTTCTCCTTCCCCTTGGCCTTGGCCTTCGCCTTGGCCTTGTTGATGGCCTCGCCGATCGTGCCAGCGCCACGTGGCGGCCTCGCCGCCTTGCAGAGCCTGCACTCCGTGCGCCATGCCATGTTGGCGTAGCCAGCAGCACACGAGCGGCACGTCCAGGGGTCGCCACCCTGGCTGGCACCGCGCATGCCACCTGCAACTCCATTCGCCATCGGCCCGCGGGGGCACGCCGCTCTGAAGATTGCACCCGCAAGAGCGAGCACCTGGCTCGCCCCAGAACGGCTGGAAGGATAGGGAGGAGGAGGAGGAGGAGGAGGAGGAGGAGGAGGAGGAGGAGGAGGAGGAGGAGGAGGGGGAGGAGAAGGATAAGGAGAAGGAGGAGGATAGGGAGGAGGAGGAGGAGGAACTCGAGTGGAGTCCCCTCCAAGAAAACGCTGAGCGAGCCGGATGCCCTGCCCCGGCTCGCCCAACGTCGCGCTCCGCTGCCCGCGAGGCGGCGCGCGCTCGCGCCGCCTCGTCTCTGGGAGAGAGACGCGCACCTTTTGCGGCCCCGGCCGCGGGGCGCGGTTCTCGGAGGGGAGGGCGCTGGAGGGGGCCCAGTTCAGGGGGAGGGAGCATCGAGCGGGAATCGGCGAGATGCATCGCCGATAGATCGGCGAGAGTCCCCGATCGCAAAACCCTCGCGCTCCTGGACGGGGTGGGCCATCGGGCCCATGTCGGCGATGAGTGGGCGATTGGGGGTCGATGCGTTCCCACCTGAGCCTGTCCCCGCACGTCGTTGCCCCGAGGAGGACAAGGAGGACGATAAGGAGGACAAGGGAAGGACGAGGACGAGGAGAAGGAGGCGGAGGAGGAGAAGGAGGACGAGGAGAAGGAGGAGGAGTGATATCCGATTCGATTCGATTCGTGCACCCTCAACGCCAACCTGATTTCTATCTTGATGCGTTCGCTCTTCTGCACTCGAGATCGAAACGGCGCAACCGCGAGCTCTGAGATTTCACACAACTGCGGATGGCATCTGTCGCGGTGTGCCTCCAACGTTAAGAGGAGGGTGGATCTGCCATGCTCTCTGCGTCAGGGCCGCAGCGGAGGTCCCGAGGAGGACCAGCCTGGCCCAGGTGGCCACTGACGCAAAAAGGCAGCCATCTCCCTCTCCTCCTCCTCCTCCTCCTCCTCCTCCTCCTCCTCCTCCTCCTCCTCCTCCTCCTCCTCCTCGTCCTCCTCCTCCGCCTCCTCCTCCTCCTCCTCTCCACCTCGTCCTCCTCTTCCTCCGTTTCCTCCTGCCCCTCGTCCTCTTACTCGGCGGCGAGCCCGCGGGGGAAGTGAGAATGAAAAGGCCTTTTCAGAAGGCTCAGAAGTCCCCCAGCCTTCTGAGACGTTCTCTAAGCCTTTTCCGAAGACGCAGAACACCCTTCAGAAGGCGCGAGCGCTCCAGGGAAGCCCCGCCACCTTTTGAGAAGGCCTTCTCCTTCTCATTTCCCCCCGCGTTCGCCGCCGACTTACAGTGCGGGCGCGGCCGCAAGAAACCCTCGCAAGAAACCCAACTCTGAGAACCCGTGCGCGAGGTGCACCTGAGGGGAAACCTGGAGCACCCTGAACGCAGCAGTTCCTTCAACGCCTGCGGGAAGTCACCGCGCAGCGCGAGGAACGAAGAAAACCCGGATACCCTTACGACAAGCAGATGGTTTCTTGATGCGCGTCCCCTTTTGTAAGAGGCAGCTCGAGATTTAGCTTTTCGTAGAATGCGCTTGCTCCTAAAAAGTTCCTCGAATTCCAGAACCCCTGGGGAGATCCCACACGAGGCTCAATACGCTGTGATGATGTGTGTGCCTCTGAGGGTTCAGCGGGAGGAGGGGGAGTGCCCTGGCGCTTGCACGACGGAGCCGCGGCCACAGGGCCACCGAAATCTAGGGCGCAGCTGTGCGGATGAAGGGTGGTCGACGATTGTAAAGCGGGCGCAGCTTCAGGCGGTCTCAGATCAGGAGGTGGTGGCGGTGAAAGGCCATCAGATGACGAATATCATATATCCCCGGCCCTGTTCTCCAAGAAAGACATACGCTGGTCCTGGGTTCATGGATGGGGGTAGTTGAAAAACCTGCAGATCATGTGTGGAAGGCATCACTTCAGGAACATCTCAAGAAACTGCTGGATCTCCCTCTCCAGGTAGGCTGCTGGGGCACGTCCATGCTTCCGCTTAACGTTCGGAATCTGACACATCGGAAAAGTTACTAGGCTTGGACACGATGGGTCTCGAACCGATATGTTCAAGCGGCGTTGCTCCTTCTGAAAGACCGTGTCTTGGCGACGAAACAAACGGAACTCACTCTTCATGTCGACTGAGCATTCTCCGTACTCGTTGAAGGCGTTTGCATCGTTTGGGCGCCTTGGGCTCCGATCGCGTCCCCAAGGCTCACGAATCCTTTGAGTAGCCCTCCCAATGGCAAAGATGAACGGCAAATGATGCGGAGGAGGAGGAGCGCACGTCGCCTGGGGGGGGGGCGTGATCCGTTACATATGGAGGGCGGCACGCGCGGCGCCGCGGGCCTGGTACAGCAGGGAGTCGGTCACGACTTCCGCTGGGCCCAGGCGAGGCCGAAGCTTGTGGTAAATGTGAAAGGTCAAAACTAAGGCTCTGTGAGCCCGCTGCCATCCGACATCGCCGTCTGAGAAGTCCCGAGGACCCCCCAAACCCAGACGGATAAGGGGCTCAGGAGGAGGGGGGGGACCAAGGATGTCGGTGGCAGCCCAGAGCTTAGGGCACAGGAGATAGTGCGGGAAGGAGTCAGGGCAATCGGCACACCCGAACCTGCAAGGGAGCTGCGGAATAATCTTCACTCTCCCACTCGTAATCCACGCACCCGCCAACGATTTGATGTGTGGCCAGGCGTGGGAGGGCGGGACACGGCCGAGGTGAACACGTAAGCGCTGCCACCGGTGACGAAGGTCAGGAGGGGGAAAAGGGCTCTCAGCGAAGTAGGCGCGGAATCGTCGACCGATGAGCGCGGGAAAAGAGTCTTAAAGGAGCTGCTCGCGGAGAGAGGCAGAGAAGACAGTTTGCCAGGCTATGGGCTTGCTTCGCTGCCGTCTCTCGTGGGCTCGGGCAATCGTAGTGCTGTGAGCTTGCAAAATCGATGCGGACGGGATGCAGAGACGATTAGGGACAGAAGGGGAAGGAGAAATGGAGCGAACAATCGGAAAGGCAGGGGGAGTGGGGAGAAAAAGGGAGGCGTAGGATTGAACAATGCTTTTGCGACTGCGCCAGCATGGCGCGCACCAGTCTCCTCGCACAGCCTGTATCGCGGGGGCCTCCGCGTTGGCGCGCGCTCGGAGTCTCGACCAACTCCCCCCCACCCACTGAACGTCCGTCCCGCCGCCCTCCACATTACAGCAGTATTCATGAAGCGCAATGGTGGTGGCATTCGGAACCAATGGAGCGACAGCAGCTCGGCAAGACGAAAGCTCGATGGCGGCAAACGAAGGAGCTTGTGCAGCGCGAGCATTTCTTTCTGGAGGAGAGTGAGAGGGAGAAAGAAGAACTGGCAGAGGTAAGAAAGACGGGGGATAATGAGAATGCTATAGAGCCGCAGGCATGCCTCTGTGGGGGCTCGCGTAGCTGCGACCGCTCGACTTCGCGACCACCACGTTTGGCCGCTTGCGAGGAACTGATCTTCTTCGCTCGCGCCGGGTCCTATGGAGAACCCGAGGTAGCGGCAGCAGCTGCAGATCGCGAAATCGGTCCAGCCAGGAACGAGCGCACTAATGGCGTGGCGAGGAGTATCGATCTCCGCGGGGGCCAGACTCGTCCATGCTGGGGCCAAACAACATTTCTTCGGTTGCAGCTCGAGCAGCGCTAGCTCCGCCGCTGCACGAAACGGTGGTTCGATGAGGGGGGGGAGCGAGAAGGAGGGGAGAGAAACTCCAACGTCGTCGGCACAAGCACCAGCAGTGGCAACGAGAGGCGGGGAGGGGAGGACCAGGCGAATCTGCTCGGCACGCGATCCGCGTGGCATGGGGGCAGGCGCTACGACCTCAAGCGAAATCTCAAAGAGGCAGACCCGCTTGGATCCCACATTGAGAAACCCAACCGAGTCTTCAGCGAGGGCCGACACCGCGTTGAGGTAGCCTAGAGGGAGCCCGAACCTGCGAAGGACCGCGCGGAGCCACTGCTGGGACATGCTGGGAAACGCCGCACAGAAATCGAAAGAAACAAAGCGTGGCCGCCTCTCAGAGGCGTCCTCGCCCAAACTGTTCAAACGAGTTTCCGCATCGAGGCGAACGATGTGGTTCCCGAAGTTACGGCCAGCTATGAAGCCTTGCTGAATGCTATGGACTCTGTCTTTGGCTACTCTACTTAAGTGTATGCTGACGGTTTGGGCGAGAGCCTTACTGTCGGTGCCATTTAAAGTAAGTGGCTTAAGCGAGGCCGCATCTCGAACGCAATCAGTGAGATCTTGAGGATCCTCACCTTTAGGGACGAAAGCAAAATTGGAATGGTTCAAGCCTTCGACAGGGCCCCCGCCAGAAAATAACCGCAACAACACTTCGTAAATAATCTCTGCTGCCACTGGCACGGCCTTCCACGCCGCGTACGGGAGACGATCAGGGCCAGGGGGGGAGGCCCGCCCACGGTGCAGTGCTCTGGTAAGGTCCTCTGGCGATGGGAGAGGGAGCTCGATAGATGGAAAATGGGGGAGGTGCAGATCAAGGCATTCAGAAATGGCCTGGTCGCTGCCGTTGAATTGACCGCAGAGAACACCGGCTCCCAGTGCTGGCGGATCGCGTCGGCCATCTCCTCGGGCTGTCTGATGACGCCGCCGTCCGCCGGCTGGTCGTTCTTGAGTCCATTCAAGACAAGGCGCCTCTGACTTGGGTTCCATGCCAGCGCCTGTCGCATACTTGTAACTTGAGTCTTGAACGCCTCAGGCACTCCAGCAGGGGAGTCGTCACCTTGGGGAATCTGTTGTCTGCGTCGGCCAGGTCGAGGCGCTCGCGCAGCATGCTGAGCTATGGCATCAAGCCGCCGCTGATTGCTGTCCATCGCCTGGGTCCTGAATGTGTCCTCGTCCGTGATGTAGACCATGCCTCTGTCGGCGATGCCCATAAAGCGCCGCGCCAGTGGAGAAGATCCACAAACGGTGGGCCAGCCGAGAGTCCTGTCGCCAAACAGCGCGAGCCATCATGCGAAACACCATGCATTCAGTCTCCAGATCCTCCAGCGGGTTCGCAGTGCGGTGGGCGCCTTCGGGAGGAAGTTTGCGTTGAAGTTCGCCTCTGGTGAGGGCTGCTGCCGAGCGCATCAACGATTTCATTTTTCTGCCATCGCCGTTCAACATCCTGAGCCGAGATTTCACTTCCCAAGCCTGGTGGGTCCGCCAATCCCGCTGCCTCGACACAAGATTGTAAAATTAGTTTGAATCTATCATGTCTGAATATATGACTGGGTATGCTTTGTAGTTCGACAGGCGGGGGCCGTTTTGCTTGAATATGAAGAACCACGATAGCATGGTCCGAGAGCGCATAGTCACTCAGCTTGTCCGCTTCCTGCAGTATGTTTAGCGTGATGTCGCAGTCAGTCGCGAAGTGCGCCCTGATAGAGATGAAGAGGCGATCAATGGTGTTGAGCGAGTGTGTGGCGCGATCGTAGTGCGTGGGCAGGGGGCTCTCCACCTCCAGCATGCCACATCCAATTAGAGACCGCCAAAATGGTTCAGATTGGGAAGCGCGTCCGTCTAGAGACCGTCGAGCTCGTCGTTGCTTGGGAAACAATAGCGACTGATTCGTGAAATTGCTGACGTTGAAATCGCCCGCATGTATGGCGAGACGGGTTGGTTCGGAATGACGGGCCCACTCCAGATTCCGAGTCCATGTATTGCGAATCGCTGTCCTTGCATTCTGGTCAATGTCATAGTTGTGATGAATCAGAACCCGCATAGCGTGCCCCTCACGATTGACAATCTCGAGCATGTGTTTTCGTCCTGGGACCAGCACAGCGTGAGTAAACTTCGGCACTCGCTCCGCAGGGAGCCGGCGCAAATGATGGGGGGCGTGCCAAGGAACGATGATGGCAACTCCGCCAGTACGGTGGTCGATCTGGGCCTCATCATTGAGGTAGCCGCTGTAGAAGACCTGGTAATGCACGGGGAGCTGATCCGGCAGCGTGGTAAGCATGAGCTCGTTCCCATGGACCTCTTGAACCATGATCAGGTGACGTCGCAGAAAAAGATGATTGAGCTTGCCGGTCTTTAGACGCCTTTTTTTGTGATTCCAGCAACATAGACCGCGCGCATTCCATGAAGCCACCTGCAGACCACGTCCGTCAGCGCCGTTGATCTCCCAGGGCTGGAACCTCGCGCTAGGATAAAGTCCATGCCGAAGTGTCCACGTTCTGAAGCTGTTGCTTGAACTGCGCACTGACGCTCTGGAAGTCGATCTCGTACTCTGCCACGACCTGCGGGGCCCAGGCCAGACGTGTCGGCTCGTCCACCCCTGCGGCGTGATCTCCACGATGGGTGTCGCATTGATGCTGATGATGCCACGGGAGCGAAGAAGTCTCCAGTCCTTGTCCTGGTACATGCGCTGCAGGATGCCCAGGAGCCGCTTACCATGAACTTTTCGTCGTACCTGCTTCGGGGCCTTGTCAGGGTTGATGTACAGTGGCTCCTGGCCGCCCGCCGCGCTCTTGGCCGTGAATCGGCGCCAGCTGCCTCCTGGTAGTTGCAGATGCTGAGCGAGGCGAACTGCTCGGGCCACTCCAGCGGGGCCGCCAGGGAGATGAAGGTGAAAGAGCTTACCAGGAGAGCCACCGTAAAGAGCAGTGTGGGAGGCCTCCAGGCCTGCATCCTTGATCCAATTCGCGATGGCCACCTCAAAATCGCTGAAGGCTGTGTGTTGGGCACAGCCGATGCGGAAGACGCTGGGGTCGGGATGGCGATCATATTGTGCAAGCCTTGCGAGGTCGATGGCTGTGTCCTGAGCATCTTGGGCTTGGGCCAAGCTCCGCTGCACCGCGTCCAGGTCGTGGCGCAAGCTCTGCTGGCACTGCGTGAGGGAATCCGTCTTGTTCTGGAGCGAGCGGATGTCCTGGTCGTGAGCGTCGAGTCGGGCTGCCTGGGGGCGCATGGTCTCTAGCACGGTCTTCTGGATGTCGGAATGAGCCGCGCCCATGATGGTGGTGACCTCGGTGCGCATGCCTTCGAGCTGCTGCTGGAACGCGTTGGTGACCGCCCTCTCGACGCTCTCGGCCGTGGTGAGCACAGCTGGGGGAGAAGACTGCCCACGCCAAGGGCCACCAGCACCATGTAGAGGATCGGGCCGCCCATTTTCATCCTGGGATCCACGACGTTCGTGTTCAGGAAATGTGGGGGCAATGTCGATGACAGCGGCAATGCGGGCACGTTCGTCAGGAGGAATGCCGTCCCACGAGTCGACCGCACCAGGCCCGCGGTGGCCACCTGAAGAACCAGCACCAGCATGCTGCCGAGGGCGAGCGACTGGCGTAGGCGACGGTCGCGGTGAGCTGGCGGATGATCGGGAAGACGACTGATCGCGCCTGCGGTCTCGGTGACGATCGTCACGACGGCGTCGCCGCCGAGGATGTCGGGAGCCTCCACGTTCGCTGCGGGAATTGGAGGCTTCATCGCTGGGCATGTATGAAGGACGTGAACTTACTAGTGAACTCTGGGCGTTCGAGCAGGCAGGAACAGGAAATGCCTCCGTTTACCCACCAGCCCGAGCGCGGATCGATGACAAACACTGCCAGACCTCAAGGGTCTTGCCCGCCGCGGACTAGCGGTATCCACTTGTTCCACTCAGGAACATGGGACCTTGAGCCAAACTGGCTACGGATGTGGAGGAGGAGGAGGAAGAGGAGGAGGAGGAGGAGGAGGAGGAAGAGGAGGAGGAGGAGGAGGAAGAGGAGGAGCAGGAGGAGGAGGATGAGGAGGAGGGGGAGGAGGACGAGGAGGAGGAGGAGGAGGAGGAGGAGGGCGGAGGAGGAGGAAGGGGAGGAGGAGGAGGAGGAGGAGGAGGAGGAGGAGGAGGAGGGCGGAGGAGGAGGAGGAGGAGGAGGTGGAGGAGGAGGAGGAGGAGGAGGAGGAGAAGGGGGGAGGAAGGAGGAGGAGGAGGAGGAGGAGGAGGAGGAGGAAGGAGGGAGGAGGAGAGGAGGAGGGGCGGAGGAGGAGGAGGAGGAGGACGAGGAGGAAGACGAGGAGGAGGAGGAGGAAGACGGAGGAGAGGGAGGAGAGAGGAGGAGGAGGAGGGAGGCAGAGAGGAGGAAGGAGGAGGAGGGAGGAGGAGGAGGAGGAAGGAGAGGAGGAGGAGGAGGAGGAGGAGGAGGAGAGAAGGAGAAGAGAGAGGAGGAGGAGGAGGAGGAGAGGAGGAGGAGGAGGAGGAGGAGGAGGAGGGAGGAGGAGGAGGAGAGGAGAGGGAGGAGGAGAGGAGGAGGAAGGAGGACGAGGAGAGAGGAGGAGAGGAGGAGAGAGGAGAGGAGGGGAGGAGGAGGAGGAGGAGGAGGAGGAGGGATGCCCCCCACCCCACCCCACCTCTGCGCACCTTTCCCCCCACCCCACCCCCCAGCTCCGTCCCTGAAGGACCGCAGCGCGCGAGGCGAGGCCCGAGCCGCGATGCCTGAACCCGGGAGGAGGAGGGCGGGGGAGGAGGAAAGAGGATAGACAAGCGCGTGCCACTTCTCGCAAAGTGTAAAATAAGAATACTAGGAATAATAATAATAATAATAATCAGCATCATAATAATAATAATAATAATGATAATAATAATAATAATTATAATCATAATTATAATAATAAAAAGAAGACAAAGAAAAACGAGTAAGAAGAAGAAGCAACAACATAAACTGTTGGCGCTCCGCGCGGATTTCTGGGATCCGCTCTGGAAGCCCCCAGCCGCGCCTCCTGCGCCGCCCCTGGCGCGTTCCGCCCAGCGCAGATCCAAGAAATCCGCGCGGAGCGCCAACAGTTTATGGTTATGCCGTTTGTTCTCCTTCGGAAGTAACTACTCGCAAATGGCCTCGATTCGCCGCGGGGGAACCACGATCCACCACATCGAGGCAAACATAGGTTTCGCGGACGTCTGCGAGGAAGTATTTTGCGAATAATGGAACGCGCTCGGTGAGAGGAGGGGGGTAAGATGGGTGCGTCGGTCATGGTCCATGCCGGTCGTCGCCGATTTGCGAGGATGATACAAGGGACCCGCGGCTGAGGCGGCAATCTTGCGAAAGAACAAACCTCGAGGCCCTTCGTCCCTCGGAACGGCCGACGACGACGGCGGCCACGACGACATCGCCACCGGCGGCGGCGGCGTCGACGGCGACTTCCTCTGGTGGTGCCGCCATCGGGGCCCACCCCTCTGCGCGCAGCCAGCCCGGGGGAGGAAGAAGGAGGGGGGGAAGCTGGGTGCGCTCGCGCAACATCCAACATCCTCCAGTCAGAACAGGGATGAACAATAGGGGTGCAAGGGTCTGGGAAGGCCATGTCGAAGCTTTCCAGGCGGGGCTGGCCATCGAAAGTGGTTGGGAATGGACCGAAGATGACCGACGAGGCAAGAATACAAGGGTACCCTTGGGAGTGGCCTCTGATCCTCCTCCTCCTCCTCCTTCCCTCCTCCCACTGCTCCTCTTCCTCCTCCTCCTACTCCTCCTCTTCCTCCTCCTCCTCTTCCTCCTCCTCTTCCTCCTCTTCCTGCTGTCTTCACAGTCCGCGAACACGTGCCATAGCCGACCTGGAACTCCACAGAAGACCCCATCGTGCTGTGCGTGCTGCTGTCGTGTCGCGTTCGGCCATCTGGGGACCCTAGTGTTTGGGAGGTCGGAAAAGGGGTGTGGCATAAAGGGGTATGGTGCCAATCGTGGAAATGGCGATGTTATCTGCGATGGATAGAATCGTCATGTTCCCCTTCACATGAGATTAGCACCACACCCCTTTATACCATACCCCTTTCCTACCTCCAGAAGAGTGCCCGCACCAGAGGTCACTCCGGCGAACTCGCCATCGCCCGGGCGTCCATTTCCCGTGCACTGTTCGATCTCGTGCGTGTAGTTTTCCGCAAGACGGCCCAAGATGTTCCTCGAGGGTCTTCGCCGATGAAAAAAAAAAACACGTCCGAGCGATGGCAAGCGAAGGGCCACTCTTACGTGTAGCCTTATGTCGTTCCCACCGTACTTCAGGACCACATCCCAGAAATAATTCCGAACACCCAAACTGTAACAAGTATCGGAACAGTGTCGAACGAGCATCGCCTCCCAGGGCGCGACGCGTGAAAACCCTCCAGTTGGGGCACTTTCTCCTTCGTGCTCAAATTTATTTCTGGTGGCCAAGGCTAAAATAGGTTGGATCATCATTTGAGCAAGGACCGACCGTCCCGGCATCTCAACAGGCCTACCACGAAACAGTCCTGGAACCCGGGAATGCTCTACTAACGAAAACCCTGTCCTTAGAACAGAAGCCCGATGTGCTCAAACAAGACAGACCCAGCCAGAAATGCTCTAAGAACCTGCCGTGGAAACCACAAAAGGTTCCTAGAACATCTTGTGGTAGGCCTATAGGCGAGCCAGGATTGGGCGCCCGAGATATCCGGGGCAACTCGGGTCCGGGGTAACTCGGGTTTGGATTCCCGAAAAACGAACCCGAGTTATCCCTGACCCGAGTTACCCCTGATGATCCGGGGCTCTGACAGGACGCTCCGCCACTGCTTGAACCATCCGTGTAGCCGACGGAGGCGCGAGGCGCCATTGGCCCTTGCGGCCGGGCGGCGGCACCTGCCCGCGGCCGCCCCGGCCGCCGCGCCCTGCGGCGGCCACGTGGCCCCGGCGCCGCCGCGGGCGGCCTCGGCGCGGCCCGCGGAGGCCAATGGCGCTGGCGCTGCGGGCGCCGAGGCCTCCGGCGGCGCGTCTCTCCGGGCGCCCTCGTCGACGACGACGCCATGGCGACGACGACGACGGCGACGACGACGGCGACGACGACGACGACGACGACGACGACGACGGCGACGACGACGACGGTGACGACGGCGACGACGACGGCGACGACGGTGACGACGACGGCGACGACGACGGCGACGACGACGGCGACGACGACGACGGTGACGACGGAGACGACGACGATGACGACGAGCGACGAGCTCTCTGCGGTCGGAAACCTTTTTGGATGGCGTGTCGCCCCAGCGGCCCCGTCGACACGCTGTCCAGCTGCGGGCGGACAGCGTGTCGCTCCGCTCCGCGGGGCGGGAGACGGGGAGGACGCGGAGGAGGAGGAGGGGGAGGAGGAGGCGGAGGCGGAGGAGGAGAAGGAGGAGGAGGAGGCGGAGGAGGAGGAAGAGGCAAGCGGGCGCCCGGGGGCAGCGGAAAAGGACCCGCCATGTCGCCCGGGGGCTTAAGCGCGGTGTGCCGGCGGGCCCGCGGGGCGGCCCAGATACAGGCGTTCGCCACCGTAGCTTGCTCAATCGGAGTGCAGTCGGACCTTAGAGGCCTCCTAGATGGGGTCGGAGTAGGTGGGGTCGGAGGATCGCGCCGCATTGCCGACGCATCGGCGACTCCAGCGGTGGAGAAAGTCGTGCTCCACACCGAGCCGCATCGCCGATGCATCGACGATGCGGCGCGATCCTCCGAACCCATCTGCTCGGACCCCATCTGGGAGGCCTGGAGACCTGGGCCAGAAGAACACCCCTCTAGGACATGAGAGACCCCTCCATCGGCAAAGACAGACAGAATATCCAAGGGTACCCTCCCCGGGGAGGGCACGAGAGCATCCAACGAGCACGAAGAGCACCAGGGTATACTCTCCCCGAGCCGACCTCGATCCTGTGCCTCGGTCCGACCGAACTACTCTCCCCTTACCCCCGGGGGGAGGTACGGCGAGTGGCCCGCTCCCCTCCGCACACTGGTCCTTCTGCACGCAGGGGATGTCAAAAACTGATGTTATGTCCTAGCTTCTCCCACTCCTGCTCCTGCTGCCGCTGCTGTTTCTCCTCCTCCTCCTCCTCCTTCCTCCTCCACATTCTTCTTTTTCCTCCTTCCTCCTACTCCTCATCCTCCTCCTCTTCCTCCTTCTCTTCCTTCCTTTCGTCGTTCTGCTTATCCTCCTGCTCATCCGCCACCTCCTCCTCCTCCTCCTCCTCCTCATTCTCCTCCTCCTCCTCCTCCTCCTCCTCCTCCAATGTTCGCAACTTCCCTTCTGCAATGGTGCACGACACAATGGGGTCCGTTTGGGGCTACCAAGTCCGCTATGATACCCGTCGGCGAATATAGGAAGACACAGCGCGCTGGGAAGGGATGGGTAGGAGGGGTAGGATGTCAGATATGGCGCGAGCGCGCCTAGCTTGCCCCCCCTCCTCTCTCTTCCCCTCCTGTCGCCACTTGTGGTGCGTGTATGTGTGCGTGTGTGCGTAAGTAAGTGTGTGTATGTGAGTGTATGTATGTGTGTGTGTGTGTGCGCCCTGTCGTCGGTGCCCATGTGCAATGTCACCCTCCAGCTGAGCACCCAGAAAGATCTCCTGAATGCGTTCATTCCTCTACGGATTAGGGCCTCTGGCGGCCTGTCTCTGTTCGATCCTGCCGCTCTGCCTCTATCTCTTGGGGCTCCCGACGCGGTGCGGTGACGAATCGTGCGGTGACCTCGGAATCTCGAGTGGAGGGCAAAGAGACGATGACCATGACCAACACTGACCAAGGCAACGTCGGTGCCGATCTTGGTCATCATCAATGCGTGGATCATCCTCGCAGATCGGCGGCGGCCCGCATGAACCATGACCAAAATCGGAGCCGACAGGACCCCGCGACATCTTGGTCATGGTCGTCGCGTTTTTCCATCGTCCGAAGAGCTTGACCGCACGGTTTTGAGACCGCGGAGGCCCCAGTCGCACGAGATACCCTCGGAGAACGGTGCGGTCACCCCGGATCCCCATTCACTCACCACGCGGTCTGGTCGACGCACCGACTGGGGGCCCCCGAATTTCGGCGAGCTGGGCCCCGGAACCGTCCACAAGAACGGCCCGCGGGATGAAAGGGCAGCCTTGGGGAAAGGGTCCTGCACGGAAGCGGTGGAACACGACGTCGGAGGTCGGGGCTGAAGGCGCGCACGGGGGTGGGCCACGATGATGGCACAGCTGGAAGAAGTCGCCGTCGCCGCAGCCGCCGCTGTTGGCGACGTCGTCGTCGCCGCCGTCGTCGCCGACCGTGCCGAAGGATGGAAAACCCCGACGTCAGCTCTTTCGCTGAATTGCCGCCTCAGCCGCGGGTGCCCCGAAAAGACGACTGGCAAGTCAGGATGAAAGAGGCCGAACAGGCTTACACAGTCCTTGGGTGCGTGGATGAAGTTGGATCCCGTGGCCCAAGCTTTGCTTGTTGTTGTTCTTGTTGTTGGTGTTTGCTGTTGCTGGTATCGTACTAATATTCCCCAAGCAGCGCTTGTACTCTAAAGCGTCGGTGCAGCCAGCTTGTCGCCGCCCGTCGCCGCCCATTGCCGCCGTCGCCGCGGGGCCCTGTAGCGGCCCCGCCAGCTCGTCGCCGCGTCGCTTCGCATTGCCTTGCATTGTTGCGCGCATTACTTCGCATCTCGTTGCGTTGCTTTGCATCGCACTGAATAGATTTGCGTCGCAATATATGGCACTGCTGTGCATTGCGCTGCGTCCCGTAGCATGTATTTGTATTGTTGAGCATCGCGTTTCATTGTTTTGAATTCCAATGTTGGCTTGCATCGCAACGCATTGATGTGCATTGTGTTGCTGTGCGTCGTTTCGCATTGATTCGCGTTGCTTTGCGTTGCATTGATTTGCAACGCGTAGCTCCGCGTTGCATTGCGTCGCGTGGCATAGCTTTGCGTTGATTTGCGCTGTTTTGCATCGCGTTACGTTGCTCTGCGTTGCTTCGCGCTGATTTGCATCGCAATTCATCGGTTTGCATTGTTTTGCGTTGCGTTATACTCTTGTAACGGAAATTAGATTCTATCCCCGCCACCACCCCGGGATTACCACATCCCCGGGGCCTTGCAAGTTACATGTGATTCTGCCCCTGGTTCATTTTCCGTATGAGGTCATACCATCCCAGCTCGTCCCGGTTTCGGGCCCCTCCCTCATCCCTGTCAAATAATACCATGCGGCGCGCATGCGTTGATCTAAGATGACCTAAACGTACGGATCCCTGTGGAATGATAACACGCGGGCCACCTGCGCGCGCATGACGAAATCCTTCCAGAGCCCATGTTTTCGTTGCGATTGTATCGTGTAGACATAAAACACAATGGCTGTCCAACAAAGCGTTTTCAACATGTCATCCCGATCCCGCGCGCCCTTCCGGGCTTTAAGAAACCCAATGTTTTCTTATCAACTTTCCTGTCCAAGGGGGCCTTCGCGCGCATGGCGAACTTATGTATATTCCCTCGCGCGCTTGCCAGAGGCATCGTCAACATTGCCGTCAAAAAAACGTCGTGATCATACTCATGATCGTTTGTCGACGCCGTCGTCCGCGCTGTCTTCCGCAAGATGGACTTTGCCCTCGCGACGAGCGTCCGCGCGCCAATGAACACGATTAGACTATCGGAGGAGATTCACGCTGTAACTGTACTCGCGACCTTATGAAGTCTGCAAACCACCTCATCGTCGTTCGTCGACGCTGTCGTCCGCGCTGTTTCCCGCAAGATGGATTTTGCCCGCGCCGCGAGGGTCCGCGTGCCAGTAAGCTCGATGGAATTGGCGGACGAACTCCACGCTGCAACTGCAGTCGCGACCTTATGATTTTTGCCGACCAAGATGCGGGTGGAAGAGTGGGGTGTTTGCACGAGCGTGGGAAGTGGTCACGCGCGGTGTAGCGTGGTCAACCATACCGCATGGATTTCACCACTTAGATGGCACCGCATTGATGGCAAGAAAAAGCTTTAAACATTTGTTACCGTTGGTCCCCCATCAATGCGCTCTGGCGTTCTCGCCGCGGCGCGGGCTGCATTTCCCTTGAGCTTGAAGCTCAAGCTCGAGCGTTCCACGTCTGCGCCCAAACCGGCCACAAAACAATAGCAACAACAACAATCATTTCAAGACTGGACGTTCTTACCTGCCCACGGGCCACTCAACACGTCTATCCCGAACCCTCGATACTCGCCCTCTTCGTCTTCGATCGTATCCCCTTGTGGATATATCTTTCTTGTCTGCTACGTGAATTGCATGCAGCCCCTACGGCGGGGGGAAAGAGGACGGATGGAAGAAAGGGACAATGGGGGAAGGAGGACGATGGAGCACGAGAGCGAGAATAGTAGGAAGGTGGCTAGGAGCAGAAAACACATGGCAGAAATGAACGGGCAGATCGGGTGGGTAAAACCTACCAAGCGGGTCGGGATGACGGGCCCAGGCAGCCAGGTCGAACAGGCTGGTTGCTGAAGCGTGGTGTGACCTGCATGAATCGCGAATCTCAAGCGATAGCGAGATTCCCAAGTACATCGCGAGAAAAGCCAAAGCGAGAGCGTGATTCCTACGTGTCGAGGGCGCGGCGTTTGAAGAAAGGACAAGAAGTCCCACGCGAGAGCGCCATTTCTGAATAAATTGTGAGGGCGCCCTTCGCGAGAGCGATATTTGGGAATCAATTATGAGAGAGAGAGAGAGAGAGAGAGCGTGATCCACCGCCGCTTTACTGTGGAAAATTCCCCTCCCTCTTCCTCCGGAACCCGGGGTTCCCCCCCCTCCGAAAATCCCCCCCCCTGCTGGACCCCCCCCCTTTCCCCCCGGCAAATCCCCCCCCAAACCCCCTAACCCCCCCCCACCCCTCCGGAAAACCAAGGGGGATCACTACCGGTTCGAACCCCCCTCCCCCCCCCGGCCCCCCCCTTCCGGCTAACGGTTCGAACTCCTCCCCCCCCCCAAAAAAAACAAGAGGGAGGTCACTACCGGTTCGC